CGTTTTGCTGGAAGTTGTGCTAATGGTATTGCTGCCGGTCTCGCTGGAGGTCGTTTCGCTGGAAGTTGTGCTAATGGTATTGCTGCCGGTCTCGCTGGAGGTCGTTTCGCTGGAAGTTGTGCTAATGGTATTGCTGCCGGTCTCGCTGGAGGTCGTTTCGCTGGAAGTTGTGCTAATGGTATTGCTGCCGGTCTCGCTGGAGATCACGCTGACGATCTCTCTGGAGGTCTTGCTGGTGATCACGTTGACTGTCTTTCTGGAGGTCCCGCTGACCCCCTCGCTAGCCTGATCTCCAGTGAGACTTTCAGCGTGATCTCCTGCGAGATCTCCAAAAAGATCGGCAGCGTGATCTCCAGCGAGACTTCCAGAAAGACCGTCAGCGTGATCACCAGCGCGACCTCCAGAAATATCGTCAGCGTGATCTCCAGCAAGACTCCCAGAAAGATCGTCAGCGTGATCTCCAGCAAGACTCCCAGAAAAACCGTCAGCGAGATCTCCAGCGATACCATCACCGTGATCGACAGCAAAATCACCAGCGAGACCGGCAGCAATACCATTAGCACAACTTCCAGCAAAACAACCTCTAGTGAGACCATCAGCGAGACCGTCAGCAAGAGTTCTAGCAAGACCTTTAAATAGACCATCAGTGCGATGTCCAGCAAAATTACCAGTGAGACCGGGAGCAATTCCTTTACGCGATCTCCAGCGAAATCGCCAGCTTGTCACTGTTCACTTTAAATTAATTTCATCAAACATTTTGGTCACAACACTGTGCTTGAAATTCTTTTCTTTATTTATTTGAGCAGTACGGACTTGTATTTGTTTACAAGCACTTTAACATCTGCAAACTAACCTGTTTTTTTTGACATATTTTTTATATTTTCATGTTGGATTAGCAATCTAATTTTTATTTTTCCTTCAAGCTGCTGTCTTCACTTGATTGTGAAAAACAAAAAACAATTAATTTTTACGACCAATCAGAACGCTTGGCTACGCCTATCTGCTGTCTCTCTCTTTTAAAAAAACTAAATTCTCGGCCCTAATCATAATACTGCACAAATTACACCGGCACACAAAACAAAAAAAAATTGTCCGTACACCGGGCGCCACCTATCTGGGGGCATGTTTATCGACCCGTTGAATACGAATTTCAAGTCAGTTTAGGCCGTCCAGCCTTCAATTTCGAGTAAATTGCAAAAAAACCCTCAAAAATAGCGAAAATAGAAAAAAATGTTGAGATCTAAGGCAAGCATAATGTTCATGTATCTATTTATATTTGATCTATTAAATACTAATTTCGATCGTACTTTTATATGCAATTATGTATAATTGTATATGATTATATATAAGTAATATATAATAACATATAAGTATATATAATTATAGGGGAGGGGGGGGGGCAAAGTGGGTCCCGTAAGCTAAAAATGGGATTATCTTTTATTTTTTTCACTCGTTACACTACTTTATAGACCCTTGTTTGTTATTTAACATTGATGAGCTGTGTCCATTAAAATGAAAAAATCCAAAATGTGGGGCAAAATGGGCCCCCATCTAAAAAAATTGTGTAAGACAAATTTATTGTTCGTTTTACTTATTTTAAATTCTACACTTCAAATGTGTTACGAATAAGCTGTGATCATAAGAAGTTATGAATTTTAAAGTATGGGGCAAAGTGGGCCCCCTCCAAAAATTTGTCATGAAATTTTTTTTCATTTGCTTTACTTTCTTTAAGTTTATTTAAATACATGCTGAATTGTAATTTTTCAAACAGCGCTCTTTATTTACGTATGCGTAAATCTCTCATTTTGAAATAGTTTCTGCGCATGCGCGCTGGAATATACTCCAAACCTCCACCAGCTGATCCACTTAACCTGGATAACCTGTCAATACAGTCGAATCGCGTTATGAGTCCGGCTTGTTTTCTTTGTTTTTTAACCAGACTCGCGTTAATAAGAGAGAGACACAAGGAGGGCTCATAACGCGACTCGACTGTAATGTGTTAGTAAACATTGGAAATTTTAGCAAGGGCATTGCTGTTAATTAGCTAATAAAAAATATTATTATTACTCTTATTTATTGAAGATGGTGCGAAATTATAAAGAAAAATGTGGACATCAAAAATGGAATCAACTGTCCATGGCGAAAGCTATTACTGAGGTTGTAAACGATAATTTAGGTGTCAAAGCTGCTGCTAAAGCTTACAACGTTCCACGGTCAACTCTACAACGAAGAATAAAAATTTACAAAATTAATTCTAACTTAGAATCTAGTACCGAAAAACGTAACGAAATAAATTATTGCTATTCTTGAAACTTTAATATATTAATATAATGTTCATTTTTAATTAATTTGGTGAAATATTTGAAAGAGCAGGAAAAGCGGCTGGCTGGTTTAACTACCAAAGAACTACGTATACTGGCATATCAACTAGCTGAAAAGAATGGAATCGAACATCCTTTTCAACAGGGCATGGCTGGGCGTGACTGGTGTCGGGCTTTTCTCAAGCGTCATGCAAAAGAATTATCAATACGCAAGCCACAATCAACATCTAAATATCGAGCTATTGGTTTTAATAAAATTGCAACTCAAAATTTTTATGATCTATTAGAATCAGTAATTATTAAATATAAACTAACACCTGACCGAATTTTTAATGTTGATGAAACCGGAGTTACAACTGTTCCTAAGCATCAGTCAAAGATTATAGCACCTAAAGGAAAGAAGCAAGTTGGTGTTTTAACTTCGGCAGAACGAGGACAGTTGGTTACGACAGAGATTTGCGTATCGGCTGCTGGAACTTATTTGCCTCTTATGTTTGTGCTTCCTCGAAAGAAGTTACCCGCTCGATTATCTGAAATACTTATTGATGATTGCTGGGCCCAATGTCATTCTAGCGGTTGTATAACGAGTGAGATATTTTTCAAATGGTTTGTTTGGTTCGTTAAAATTGTCCAACCGACAGAAGAAAGACCTGTTTTATTAGTTTTAGATGGACACCCGACCCATACACAAAATTTGGATGTTATAAATTATGCCAGAAAACATCACGTAATTATAATATGCTTGCCTCCTCACTGTACGCATCGACTCCAACCTCTAGATGTGAGTGTCATACGTCCAGCTTCGATAGCATATTCTGATGCAGTTAAACAATGGTTGAGAGAGCACCCCGATCGTGTCGTGACAGCCAATGATATACCTCGAATTTATGGTGGAGCTTTTAAATCTGCTGCGAAACCTGAAACCATCAAAAATGGCTTCAAAAAAACCGGAATCTGGCCTTTCAACAGATCAGTTTATTCTGACGAAGCTATTGTGGCTGCTGGTACTTCAACCCCCGAGATTCCATCAAGTAATGCTTCTACTGCTACTAGTACTACTGCAACTAATACTGATGATAATGACGATGATGATAATGACAACGAAGATGATGATAAAGCCAATATTAGTAGTAGCAGTGATGAAGAAACGCAGGAGGTTACCAATAAAATGACCAATGATCATAATAACGAAGCTGCTGATGCTGATGACGATGATACTTATGATTGTGATAATAATGACGATGATGATGGACCCGAATTGCAGTGTCTTAGTCAGAGAATAAGTTCAATTTCGGTGATGGCGGATCAAATAGAAACCGATGATTTTCAAACTCAGTCACGTGGTGAAGATATTGAAGAAGAAGAAGAAAACGAAGAAATTGTTGCTCATTCTTCAAGGATGACTGCTAACGAATACAAGTGTCAATATCTTCGTGAAGCTTATGGAGACCAGAGTTTCTCAGATTCTGACGAGGAACCAGAAAAGAAGCGAAAATTAGACGAATTCAATATTTCCCCGCAAACTATCCTCCCTTTAATGGAAAATCAAACTAGTATCAGCAATTCAAGGCGTAAAAGTACTGCGATTATCACAAGCTCACCGTATAGACAAACACTTTTAGACAAGAAGCAGCAATCGAAAAACGTACCTACGAGGAACAAAACACTGGGTGGTATAATTAAAGGAAAGAGGAAAGGGAAAGGAAAATCAAAGCAGTTTGTTGATGATACTGCTTGCATTTTCTGTGAAAAATTATATTCTGAGTCTGTCGAATCATGGATTCAATGCGGTCAGTGTAAAAATTGGGCCCATGATTCTTGTGCTGGAGTAAAAAATAAAGTCGTTCGAAGCTACACGCTCGATATATGTAAATAAATGTAAATAATTATTGTATTTGTTTCATTTTGTTAAAAAAGAAATAACCTAATTAGTTATAAGTAATTTTGAAAGGCATAAATAGGCTAATATGTAATAATAATAATATGTGATAAATTAATAGTCGTCAAAAAGTAAAGGTGACTTGTTATGAGAGTGTTCATGAAAAATTTCAGGGTGCCCACTTTGCCCCCAAATTTTTGAGGCCTTTCAAATTTTAGGGGGGCCCACTTTGCCCCCCCCCCTTCCCTATATAAATTTTTTTACTCGGGGCAGTTAGTAAACTTTAAAATAGCTTATTTTTTTTTCTAATTTATTAATTTTCACTTTTTATTTATGCCCGCCCCGACCAGCAAAGCCTCGGCTTTACAAAAGTCGGGTCGCGTCCCCCTCACGCCAGACAAAACCTCGGCTTCGCCTCGGTTTTGCAAAACTCCTTTTCCGGGGTTGCGTACTTTCAGCTGGAGAGCAAGAAACATAGTATACAACCTACGGCCAGAAAGTTGGATTTCCTGGTGTATGGGATATGATGGCCGAGGCGTAGCCGAGTATATACTATTACAGTAGTATACTATTACTGTGTGGCGATTCCAAGAATTTCGATTTTACAACATTCGTTTTAAAGTTTGTAACAGAAATTTACGAAAACGAGTGTAACTTACCATCCGTCAAATTTACATCCGTTTTCGTAAATTTGTGCCACAAACCTTAGACTCATGTCGCAACATCGACATTAGGGTGTCCATTATTTACCAATTAGGTTTTTGACTTTGCAGCGCCCCTAAAATTTTTAGTTCGTGACCTAAAAAAAATATCAGACCCATATAAGCCCTTAACATTGATATTGAACCGTGCCACAAAGACGATACATTTCCCATTTAAATAACATGGGGTTTTGGCACGTTTTACAATTAATTTTTCTGTTCGTATGCTAGTTCATATACGGCAATGGCAAACAAATATTCTTGTAGGAAATTGAACGCTCTACAAAAACTTACTCTTAACTTTTTTCGATAAGATTCACTTGCTCAAAAGTTATTCAAGCTCAAAGTTAAGCTAAAAATAATTTCTTTATTTTTTTTTATTTTGACCGAAAAATTGTCATTATTTATATAAAAATTAATTGTTTATCGCAAAAAATATTTTATTTCAACTGTATTATACGTAAAATTAGTGTTGCATATTCCGATAACCAGAAATTTAAATTTACAATCTGAGTTTCTCTTAAAATTTTGCAATTTATTTGCATATTTGAAAAAATGTAACAGGATTAATAAATTTTCGACATATTAGTGAACACAATTTATTTTGTTGAACATTTCTTAGTGACATTTGGAAATTTCTTTTTATATTCACTAACAATTTGAAGGACATACTGTTTTTGATCTTCGTGCTTAGCTAGAGTGTTGATATATTCTTCAGTCAATTTGACAGCCCGCTCTGCAGAATCATTGACTACTTGTAGATGCTGAACAATTTCCAAACCTTTCAAATAATCTGGATGATCTGACTATAAACTATCATCTAGTTGAAGAAAGTTTGTGTCAATACAAAATCTTTCGAAAAATTTGAGGGAATTCGAACTTATAAAATAATCAACGTTTTTATTGAGAAACCAATTAAAATCCTCCAAGTTGAAAATGAAGCGTTTAGGATAGTCAAACTGATCCTC